AAGGGGGGGGGAGGAAAAGGGAAGGAAAGGGATTGGGAGAGAAGGGGGGGGAGGAAAAGGGAAGGAGAGGGATTGGGAGAGAAGGGGGGAGGAAAGATTCAGTTCCAGTCCAAAATAAACAAAAAACAAACAAAATAAAAGCAACAACCCACAAGCACATGGGATGAGTGCTTGATCAAGGAAGAAAGCTGGTTGCAAGATCAGATGAATTGACTGAGAGTTATAATGAACATTTGCTGATCAGCCTCCTGCTTCACCATCTGTTGCCAAAAAAAAAACCTATTAACAAAATATTAGGTTCAAAACTCAATAAACACAGGAAATCTTTAGGAAGAGAATTCAAGAAGACAGGATTAGGTCAAACTCAATCGAGGGCTTCTGTCCAGCCATCGAGGGCAGGCACACTTTCTTGTCATGTTTACATTCCAACAAATGAGCTGGATTTCAGATGTTTTTTTTGCCCAGAAGAGTAAAACATTTCTAACAACATAACAATACTACTTTGTCCAAGACTATACATCTGCAGCTCATATGATTTGTCTGTTATGATTAGATTCCAATCAGTAAATTACCAGTTGCTTCTGGAACATTACCCTGATGTACATGTACAATGCAAACATTATGTCTGAGTTACCCTTTGGAAGAAAGACTTTGCATTTTTGTAATCTCCAGCATTGTAAAACATCTCTGCAGCATTACAAAGTAATTCCACATTATCACGCAAGCTCTATAACAAAAAAAATTGAAAAATACATCAATATCCATAAAATTAAAAATGAAGAGCACATTTGTGTTACAAATAAAAATTTTTAAATTTCCACCAGTTGTTCACCTGTGTTTCCAAGCTCTTCAGTGCTTGAGCCCCCTCTGGAGAGAAGAAACTTGGTTATGATTTAATTCTTTTAAGTTAGCAATTAAATACAGCATTGGAAAATTCCTTAATTTGGCATAGAAAAAAAAAAGATAATTGCAAGTAAAATTTCCCACCACGGGTATGTGACTTGGTTTGTGCCTCTGACTGAGACATGCAAGTATCGAGGAGCACTCTGTAATTGAGTTTTGTAAAATTTAAATGTAAGTAACTAGAATGCCCAATCAGAGCACAGGAAAATATCACAAAGAGCCAGAGAAAATTCAAACAAAAAAAAGGAAATTTCCTGATGTAAAAATAGGCCTCCTGTTCATAAAAACAAAATGTCCTTCATGAAACCACAAGTTTGGAAGGAAACTGTGATCATTAAAAGCAAAGCAAAGATACTGTCTGTCAAGACAGAAAAATCGACAACCATTGGCAATAAGCTCACTTGCATGCTTCCCTGACGCTGCTAACACTTGTGCCTTTATCCATGAACCCAGCCTGGTGTGCACAAATAAAGATTTGAAGATACTGTTCAGAGCCATGATAGAACCCTTTCTTTATTAACCCTTAAACTCCCAGGATCTCATCAGTAATTCTTCTTACTGTCTGCCATACAGTTCTTGTGATGTTAGTTAGGAGAATTTGGTATTGGATTAGCTAAAAATCTCCTTAATTATATTTTTCTTTATTCTCATCACTTGTTTGCTTGATATTGTATTAATATTGTAAGGAGAAATTCTGTCTTGGTCAATCATAGGAGTTAAAGGGTTAATTTACAAATAACTGATAACTTAACATACTCAACACTTCTTCACCAAACCAAGAACAGCAAAGAACTAATTTCAAACAAATGTTTTACCAGTCCATCCCTGGAGTTGATGAGGCAGTAAGCGAAGTTACTTCAGAGCCAGGAACACCCAACGATAACAAGCCAATCACAGCGTCAAGAGCTAGAGGACACACCCTTAAATTTACAACACATGGCAATCAGTATCATTCTAAAAGGTCAGTGGTGTCTCACCAGTTAAACTCTGATGGCTGCTTCCCTGGCAATTTTTGGTGGATTAGTAATAAGTTGTGCTACCAGTACAAGTTTAAGATTTTGGGTTCAAGTTACATGTATTTTCTCCAATTTTATTGACTCAGAGGTTTTTTTTGACAGAGAGTGGGGTGGAACATACAGCACTTTTGTATTTTAATGCAAACCTCCATATCCATGGCATTCAAACTCGACAAAAAAAGGGAGTACTTTAAAGAAAATCTACCTCAAAACTTCCTTGTAACATGAAATAGCAGACCTGTAGAACAAACTCAAAATTAATTTCATCTTGGTTTTATAAAAAGAGGTACAGTATAGGAATGTGGTTACAAATTCAATTGTTCTAAGGCACTAATATTCCTTCCCATAGTAGTCAAAAGAGGCTCACCACTCAACCCCCCCTGGAAATATATTAGTCAAATTGTCCCAACTAGTAATTCAAGTCATACTCTTCAAATTCTCAGAAATGATCAAATGAAATATCTAGTAAAAAGTGTTTTTGTTCACACTATGACCACCATGTCTGGATGCAATCCAGATGACCTGTGAATAGTACCTCTCCATGCCTTGTCTTTGATACAGTTTAGCCAGAGACATATTTATCTTTGGTGATCTTTGTTTCTGGGATATCCCTTCCAGCTGTTGAAAAAACAGCAAAATGTTTCATTAGCTATGACAATACAAAGTCAAACTGTTTCCAAAATAGCTGGTTAAACTTCAGTGCAAAGAGGCCAATGAAATCTTGGTATATCATCTTTCCCAGAGACACAGTTTAAAGATCCTACCACTTATTTTTCACCCCAAAGGAATACAGCTTTACAGTACATACTATTGTTGTTGCTTCTTTGTGTTCCTTGAGACGTAAATAACACTGTGACATTTTGTATTTTACTTCAACCTCTGACAACAAACCCTAAAAATTAAAAGCAAACAGAACTGCCAAATCATACAATTGTCAGCCGATGTAAAGCTTATAGAATTAACACATAAACAATAACATGATCAAATTTTACTTTGCAATGTTAAAACTCTTACCAAGGGTGGACTTGCTTTTGGTTTGTGCTTGATGATAGTTTTCTTCAATTGTAAAGCTCTGGTGTAAAATTGCTTTAGAGGCAAGAGATGCATAATTATTAAAACATATTAATATAATAAAATTAACTTGACATGAAGCATTCCATGTTTCAAAGTCACATTATTAACCCTTTCACTTTCAAGATCTTATTAAATATTCTCCTTACTGTCTGCCATACACTTCTTATGACTTTAGTTGAGCGAATTTTAGTATGGGATCAACTTATAATCTCCTAGAGATATTTGTTGTTATTCTCATCACTTGAATACTGATACTGTATTGATATTGTAAGGAGAAATTCTGTCTTGGTCAATCTGGACAATGGGAGTTTAAGGGTTCTTCTTTCTAATAATGGGAAGAGAAGAGAATGGAATGTTTCACTTAATTGTGTCCAAGAAATGACTTAAACCAAGGCAATAATTACATTTATGAATGATCATGATAAAAATTTTGTATTTATTTTAACTTGCATACCTCTGCTCTTTTGTATTGCTCATCATCAAACAATGAATCAGCTAGATACACCAACAGTTGGTACTTGTTAACCATATGACTTAGATCATATTTATCCTGATTGCTATGCTCAGTTGCAGACAACAAAAAATTTGCCTGAAAATGGGGAAAAAAATCTCAAGTTATGAGTTAAAAAGATCTGTTGACATAGACATAACTGTTACACTACATTTCTTCCTCCTAGCAAATTAAAGATGAAATGAAATTTAATTCCGACAGATAAGCTCCAGAAAATGCTGATTTTATAAGTGTGGGACATCTATGTGACAACGTTTATGATGCCGTTACTACCTACTAAAATCGTTTCCAAAAAAAATTTCTTTTGAAAGCGATGGGCTTAAGAAGGCTTGCACAAATAACAGTGTGAACGCTTCGCCCTCAAGCAGCTGACCTCGAACACATCAAGGATTTTAGGAGGTCTTCTAATCTTGAAGGCCCCGACTCTGTCACATTTTTTACATAGATTCGGCAAATTTTCATATCTCCAAATCGTAGCACAAACGCAAAATCAATTAAACAGACTCACCAACATCCTAGAGCTCGAAAACAGCCCAGCTTCATGCAGAGCTTTCACCTGATCTAGCGGCACTGCCATTTAACTTATTCTGTCCAAAAATTTCTTTGGCGATACTACAACGTTCAATTCTGAGATGATCGCGGGGATTTTAGTGAAAGAAAACCGCAAATTGTAAACTGCTTATTTTTTACAAAATTGCAATAACATTTGAACTACGCGGGACTCAATTACTCAGCAGCTTCTGAATAGAATATATGCGCAAGCCCAAGAAGCGGATCTAAATGACCGCTGCTTATAAAACCTGCAGGCTTGTATTTTCATGGCGCTAAAATTACTGAAAATCATCTACAGTTGGATAATTTTTTAAATTGTAGAGTAGTGTACAGAATTGGTTATTTTGTGATAGATATGGAAGAATTAAGTGGATCCGTTATTTTACTTCTAGCTTTCCTAGTGGGAAGTTTTCTCGGCTGGTTTCTCAGAGGACAAAGGGAAACAATCAAAGAACCGGTAAGGCACGTTGAGGAAGTTTTAACGGGTTCGAGAATAATGATTTTGTGAGCATGATTTGAAAGGGGAGATGTCACTTTATATCTTGGCAATCTGTTAGCTTTTGGCGTAAATACTCAATTTGATATTGGCCTAAGGAATTATATTTAGTGAAAATTATGTTTCGTACGCGTTTATCCTGTTTCTCCCCCCTGGTCTCCACCCACCCCCACCCCCACCCCCCCCCCTGCTCCCCCCACACTCACAAATGAAAAAAAGTAATTCAACATCTGCTATTCTTGCACAATTGTTTATGGAAAGAACATTATTTGGTAAGTTTTTTGACTTAAACTAAATCTCAGTATATTCTACATGTACGAGGGAAAACACTAGCACCTAAATACTTAGCAAATAGATTCCAAATTGCCGTGCGTCTGTTCAGTAATAGATCACAGATGACGTCAAAATGTGGTAAGATCAAAAAGGTGGCACACAAGGCACAGCTTAGTGTTTCACTGATGTTCTTACCACACTTTGACGTCCTCTGTGATCTGTTACTGAACAGACGCACCACAACTTGGAATCTATTTGTTTTATATAATAAAGAATTAAAAAAAGTTTTAATGATGACATCATCTATACATCTGTCCTCCAATAGATCATAAGTGAGAACCAATCAGATTGCGTACATAACTGAGCTTATTATATAAAACTGAATGACACACAAGAGTATCTGTAGCCTCAAACATGGTTCAATTAAAAAAAATATATATTCCATGAACACAGATGGCATCAAAGTATGGTAAAAACAAAAAAGTGGCACACGGGACACAGCCAAGTATGTCACTGGTGTCCTTACCACACTTTGACAACTTCTGTGATCTACGCTGAACACACCCACAGTAACATGGAATCTATTTGTTTTATATAATAGGACAGCAAAATTATGTTAACCTTACAACTCCCAGATCGAATTTGTTATTTTCTTTACTATCAACCATACAATTCTTATAATGTTAGTTCAGAGAATTTAGTATTGAATCAACTAATTATCCCCAAATTGATCTTTTCTTTATTCTCATCACTTGTCTGCTTGATATTGTATTGATATTGTAAGGAGGAATTCTTTCTAGGTCACTCATGTGAGTTAAAGGGTTAATGGGAACATCATCTTGATATTTAGTAGATCATCAGAAAGAACCAATCAAAATCTGTGTATAATTCTGCTTAACCCTTTAACTTCCATGAGTGATCAAGACAGAATTTCTCCTTACAATATCAATACAATATCAAGCAGACAAGTGATGAGAATAAAGAAAATATTAGTTAGGGGATTATAAGTTGATCCAATACCAAATTCTCCAAACTAACATCACAAGAACTGTATAACAGACAGTTAGGAGAATTACTAATGAGAACTTGGAAGTTAAAGGGTTAATGTAAATTAGACTCAGAGAGTTACTGCATGAGACTTCAGATAGAGTGGTATGTGTTTTAGTTTGTTTTTTTATATTTTTGCAGCCAGGAATATTGAATCTAGATGCAGTTGGTGAATACAAAATGGTTTTAGTGGTAAGACAGGATCTTGGAATGGGTAAAGGAAAAGTTGCAGCTCAAGTAGGTCAACAGCAATATAATACTGCTGTTCATTTTCTTTACATTTCGAGTGCATATCCATATTAAATACCAGATCATTGGAAACTTGTTAGAAATCTGTGGCAATCCTGCTGGGTTTTTGGGTAATCATTCGGATCTTCAGTATGATTATACTGTACTCAGTGCAGAAAAACCTGATTCTTTTATGTAGAAAACAATATTTTCATTTGCATGTTTTTTTCCATTATTGTTCAGACTCTTTCTTTGAGTCATTATGGTTACCTAGAACCTTTGCACCCTAACATCATTAAGCATTTTCTCTATACTGTTGTCAGTTGATACATTCCTTAAGGCACTGACAAGGAGAATCTGTTTCACAATCAAAAGCCTCTTTAACTAGTGATCATTCCCTTTAATCTTATCAAGATGTGACAGTTTGATGTTATCATGTTATTCTGACTCAATGATTGTGACTAAAAGAGTACGCTTTGCATGTTGCATTGTTTCCAGTGTTGTCATGCAGCAGTTGGCCTTTGTAGACAAATGGAAACAAACAACCCAAAGGTATTACAAATATTCATCTCATCTCATTCTGTGGTTTGGACAAACTGCTATAAAATTGCACTGGCAACATTTATTATTTTGGTTTGGACACATGCAAAATGTTGTAATTAACAGCTTTTTCTGGACTAAGTACAACTTAGCCCTAATAGGCCAGTAAGTGGTCGTAGACAGTGTTTTTATTAGAAATGTGGTCATAGGAGAAAAGTGTAAATAATGTTCTCCACATCTGAACAAAAGAACTCAGGTCATCAAACTTTACCCAGCCAATTCCATGTGGTTGGCAGATCATTTTGGTCCTCAGTGACTGAAAACATCTATAAGCAATAATCAGTATTGTTAAACCACAACAGGGTTATTTTCTTTTGCATCTTGTTTTTATACTTCTTGTTATTTTTTTTATTGACCTGAAGCTGTTACGTGAATGGGACCAAACAGGATGTGCCAAAGTTGTTGTTAAGGCCCCAGATGAGGAAACATTGTATGTAACTTGTTTTTAAATTTGTATACTGTCAAACAAAATATGCATTTTCCTCTGCTGTTCATCTTGATTCTGCTCAGTTTAACATATCAGACATGTTGAACCATAGTTGTGTAACTATGGGTTCATGTGAAGAAACCCAGATAATGATATCCTATTATAATGTTCAAATTTTAAAATGTTTTTAACCAGCCTGTTTTTCTATTCCCCATTATTTCAGATTGGAAGCGTCTGTTCCTATTAATAATATTTGTATTTTTAAAACCAACTTTGTGTGTTTGATGGGAGAATGACACAATTAACCCTATACATTGGTATTCTTATTCTTCAAACTGTTCTCTCCATATTTCTTATTGTATTGACAAGGACAATTTGGTTGACAATCTGGAGCGTCTCAAATTCATGATTATTTTCTTCAGTCTCATGATCTTCACAGTTAATTCAAGGGTGATTCTGTGACTCTTAGGAGCTGAAGGGTTAACTGATGATATTTCATGGTGATTATTTCAATCTTACAGAGTTGAGCTCACACGACAAGGAAGATCTTTAGGTCTGGAGACATGTCTTATTAGAGATGCAGGCAGGACACAGATAGCTCCTGGTTCTAAGACTGTTCTTGGTGTAGGACCTGGTAAATAAATACTTATAAGAGTTCTTATCTTCCATGTGTCAATCTCGATGAATAGGATAAGTAAGGGGCCTAGTGTTTACTGTGCTGACCTGGGATGGAGGAGCCTGGGTTCAAGTCATGGCCAAGGTGTAGTGTATTGTGTTCTTAGGAAAGACACTTTATATTCACCAGGCCTCTCTCCACCCAGAAGCATGAGTGATCAGTTGGGAAACATGATGAAAAGATAGGAGGAAGGGCTGAAACTGTGTCTTTTACCATTCTTTTCATCCACATTTTTAATAATTTGTTTTCTTTGCATTTTTTGTTTGTTTTTCCCTTCACTCCTTGTTCCTGATTTGTTCCTGTTTCTTTGGTCTCACTCAATATGTGTCTTTCCATTCACTCTTTAAGGATAATTTATTTTTATTTACTTGTTTATTCATTGAAGTGCTTTTGTTTTGCAGGCCCAGTAGATATAGTAGACAGAGTGACTGGCCATTTGAAGCTATATTGATAAAAGTAAATGACCTGAAACCATATTTTTTTAGCTGTAGCAAAACTAATCTCACTTGGTATAGTATTGTTGTCACTTATTTCTGTATATTTAATGTTTTGCGGTAATAAACTTCAAACCAGCTTTCTTTTTCTGAAGTGGATATGTAATTCAAATACACATAAAACAATAGATGCTTAATTCCGTTATTTTTTAAGCCAAGTGAAGCTCATTCTGCAACCATGTAAAGGATTTTTTTTCTCTGTACTCCACCATACATGCCTTAAAATTTAATCTCTGAGAATTTTGTTCCAAATCTAAGTGTCAGAGCTTTCTCCAGTTCATATTTCCTTTCCTCTGGTCACCTTTGGACTGGAAGATATATTGATTATGTGAGAAGAGACTCATTTTTGGACAATTTTAATG